GGTGAAGGTCAAAGATATTTGAAATTTCACAGTTCAATATATATATAATAAAATACATATAAAGCGAATATAGCCAGATGTTAATTGTTGAATTTATAGAGGTGGGTATATGGATCATATTTTACATTTTCTTAATATAGCACTGTGGGGGCATTGGCATCAAAGAGGTTGCATTTAGTAACTGTCCAGGTGGTATTTTCCATTTTTTTCCTTTTCAAGTCATAGCACAAATGGTTGGGTTACGGAGATGGTTGCTCATTGCCAATGAGTCGATTTCAATGTGTGTCGAGTTGGAGTCCTGATGTGGCGCTGTTGGATAAGCACTGGACTATTAACTGCAAGGTTAATGGGTCAAACTCACCAGCCACTCCTTGGAAACCTTATACAGGGTCACTGAGTTGGAACCAGCTCAATGACACTTAACAACATGTGCAGAGTAGAACTGTTCCATAGGATTTTCAAAGCTGTAAGCTTTCGGAAATAGATCAATAGGCTTCTCTTTAAGGCATTTCTGGGTGGGTCTGAACCACCAACTTTTCAGTTGGTAGCTGAGCATTTACATGTTTGTGCCACTAGGGATTGCTCTAATTTACTGTTCTGTTCATTTGCAAATTTCTCTTGTAGCTATGCATGTTGGAGAAATTACTATAATCAACTATAAGTCAACTAAAAGGCATTTGAAGCAATGTTATGTCAGTACAGTCATTCAGCCTAAATGTTGAGAAGTAACTAAAATATATGATTTTAAGACAAATTCTTAAGATTTTTTTTTTCTTTTTTGAGAGGAAGGGGTGGAATATTAGTCTTTTCAATGTGTTTAATTTAAGAAATTTATTTAGAAATAGAGATATTTTGACGATACTAAAAAAGTAACTAAAGAGGAAAATAACTAGTCCCCTCTGTTTAGAACACAGACTAATTTCAGAACTATCCCTCTGATGCTATTAAGGCTTAATTGTAAAATGAGTGCATTGGTTTTACAGAATGGTGTAAGGGCAAAAAAAATTATGGAGCATATAAACCAAAGTGCTCTATAATCTTAGGTATAATTATAAAGTTAATAAAGAAACAAAGAAACCCAATGGATTGCAAACTACAAAAGACAAATATTTTACAAGCCAGAAAACAAAATTATATTTTAAAAATACCCCCAAAGAACAAATAAAATATTTTAACTCCTTAAATATTTTATAATCTATATAAATTGCAAAATGCCCTTAGCATCTCTTACAAACAGCCTGCAGTTTCTAAGAGAATTGTGTGCAGAGCAGGATCTGAAGTTACCATATTCTCTAAAGATGCCAGCAGAATTCTACTGATGCCCAAGAATGTCACAAGGCAAAGTTGAGAAGGGACGGGAAGGTGGGTGGAATGGAAATAGGAACCACAGGTAGAAAGTGGGATCAACTGTTGCATGGAGGGGGTCGCGTCGCAATCACTGAGATGAAACAAAGTGCTGATTTGTTGAATGTAAAATTGATGATCTTGTTTCTTTATTAACCTTATAATAATACCTAAGATTATAGAGCACTTTGGTTTATATGCTCCATAATTTTTTTTTGCCCTTACACCATTCTGTAAAACCAATGTACTCATTTTACAATTAAGCCTTAATAGCATCAGAGGGATAGTTCTGAAATTAGTCTGTGTTCTAAACAGAGGGGACTAGTTATTTTCCTCTTTAGTTACTTTTTTAGTATCGTTAATTCACAGTAAAAACAAAAAATCCTAGCAATTTGCTTTCTTAGATGTGAGCTATTTTTCTTGTGCTCATTGGTTATTTGTACATATTGTTTAGAAAACAATGCCTATTCAAGTCCTTTGACCATTTTTTGGATTAAGTATGTGTCTTTTTGTTATTGAGTTGTAGAAGTATTTATATAATTGGATATTAACAATAACCTTTTATCAAATAAATGAAAAAAAAAAGTTACAAGGAAATGAGTATCATAAGGGAACAGCTAAAAACATGGAAATGTTTAGTCCTATTTAGACTATTAAAAATTGGAAGCAATCCTAAAAGCATATTAGTAGAAGCTGCTGTTGTTAATCCCATAGTCTATTCCAACTCACGTTGTTGGTATTTAGTGCTCATAGTGAACCTGTAGAGGGTTTTCAAGGAGCTGCTTGACCTTGCGTTCAAACAGATGCCCTTGCAGTTTAAACTGACCTTGTGGTTCAGTACTTTATCCTATCCTGTATAGCATTTCTGGGGCTTTAAATCTTCTCAGAAAGTCTCATCTTTCTCCCACAGAGTGGCTGGTGGGTTCCAACCGTGGACTTTGTAGTAAGTCCAGTGCTTACTATATGGTGCCACCACACTCTCAATAGTTGAATGATACATTAACCACGTGAGCATCCATGTGAACGACTATTCAGAATGTCAGTGCTAAGTATGAAAACTTGTTGTTGCTTTTGTTAAGTGGCCATCAAGTTGGTTCCAACTCACAGCAACCCTGTATAGGGATTTCCAAGGAGCAACTGGTGAGCTTTAAGCGATTCAAACTGGCCTTGCAGTCCAGAGCATTAACCCACAGCACCATACCAGGACTCCACGTATGAAAAGTAAAACACCAAAAATAAACAAAATTGCTTAGATTGTTACAAAGCAAAATTAAGTAAATGTACTCTTGTTGCTAGCATCAAAATCACCACCCGCTACTCAGAAACTCTACACAGGATCGCTATGAGTCGAAATCACATCAATGGCACTTAAAAAGCTGCCATTGAGTTGGTTCCGACTCATGGTGGCCCTGTGTGTGTCAGTGCAAAAGTGTGCTCCTAAACACAAAGTTGACAGTTCAAACCCACCAGCCCCTCAGAAGGAGAAAGCTGAGGCCGTCCTACAAGGAATTACAGTCTTGGGAGCATTCTGGTCCCATAGGGTTGCTATAAGTTGGAATTGACTTGATGGTTGTGGGTTTGGTTATGTTGTTAAGTGCCATCGAATCGATTTCGACTCATAGCAACCCTGTATAGAGTTTCTAAGGCACAGGTGGGGTTTGAACCACTCAATTTAGGGTTAGAAGTGGTTATCCTACAGTGCTACACCAGGAAGTTGTTGTGTTGTTAAGTGCCGCTGAGTAGGTTCCAACCCATAGCGACCCTATATAGGGTTTCTGAGGAGCAGCTGGTGAGCTTGAACCGCCGACCTTGCAGTTCAACCGCCTTTGTAGTCTGGTGCATTAATGCACAGCTCCACACCAGGACTCCCTACACCAGGATAGGACATCTTATTCTCAAAGACTTCTTTAGACCTGAACTAACATGAAATAGACTACTTTTCTGGAGCTTTTTAAAAAATTTTTAATCTGAAAGTTATAATGCTGTTAAATTACTCATCTTTTTTTAAAACCCTAAATTATAAAATCATACTCATATATTGTTACAGCATTTTAGTTTTAGGGAGTTTCCAACATAGATGGGGTTGTTTTTTTTTTAATTATTTTTTAAGTTGTTTGAAATTCAGAAAGTTTTTTCCTTGGAAACAGTGATTAGGGAGATCTATACACTTAGGAGGAGTCCTGGTGTGATGCTGTGGGTTAATGTGCCAGACTGCAAAGCTGTTTGAACTGCAAGGTCGGCAGTTCAAGCTCACTAGCTGTTCCTTGAAAATCCTATACAGGGTCCCTATTGGTCGGAATCGACTCAACGGCACTTAACAACACTTACTATTCATTTTCACAGTATCTCCCCCAGTGCCCTAGTCTAGATGATGAATGGCTCCTTCTAAAACAAAACCAAGCCCACTGCCACCAGGCCAATTCTGACTCATAGCGACCCTATAGGACAGAGGCTCCTTAGGCTTTCCAAGATTAACTCTTTACAATATCAGCCAGCCTCATCTTTTTCCCACGAAGTTGTTGTTGTTGTTGTTATGTGCCGTGGAGTTGGTAAGTAGTGGGTTTGAATTGCCAACCTCATGGTTAGCAGTCCAATGTTTAACCCACTGTAACCATCAGGGCTCTTAGTGGCTCCTTAGAACAATTCTTGTTTCCCAAGAACCTCATTACATTGATCTATTTCTATCATGGAATTTTCATAAATGAGGTTTTTGTTGTTGCTATGTGTCCTGGAGTTAGTTCTGACTCATAGCGACCCTGTTCAGGGTTTCTGAGACTGTAAATTTTTACGGGAGCAGAAAGCCTCATCTTTCTCCCGTGGAACAGCTGGTGGTTTCGAACCGCTGACCTAGTGGCTCGCAGCCTTATTTATAACCACTATGCTATGTACAAGCTAGGAAATGCCTTACTAACAATTGTATCACCTATAATGTATTGATATCCATTTTTTCAACACTTGACAAATTTTAGGTGAAACATTTTAGCAGTCAGAAAATTAAAAACAGGGTAAAAACATACTAATGTGTCCTAACAGTTCGGTGTGTGCTTCTTAAGGACATCAAACATCAAAAGTAAGATATTTTTTAAAAATTTAATAACTCAGGTCTAAAGACAGATAAATTTTAATTTAATCCTTTTTTTGTATAAAACTAAATGGTAGTCAAAATGTACGATTTGTCAACTTTAACTGATGATATTGTCTGTAAACCTTCACTCAATTCACATTAAAAAGTCAAAAAAAAAAAAACACGTTTAATACCAAAAAACAAAACAAAAACTAAATGGTACTCTATTATCAGGAGATGCTTAAAAATTTAGGATAGTACAATGGAATGAAAACTATGTTTGATTTTGTATCTCAAACTGTGTTCCTATTTTTCTGTAAGAGTCAGTTCTCATTTAGCACCTTATAGCTTCATCAGCAGGCTTCTCATTTTCAAACAATTAACCTCAACTAGAGGGTAGACCTCAATGACTGAGTCCTCTTTCTATGTAAGAAAAACACTCATTTTAATTTCTTTTGGCACGGGTTTTATGCTCCAAATTGAACTTTCAGTGGAGTGTTTAAGAAGCTCTAATTAATTCCCAAATTTGTTCCTGGTCCACTCAGAACAATAAATTCATAATAGACAGAATGTGGTAGAGCTGGCATGCACATTAGTCATATTTGATTCTCTCTGTCCCGGGTTCCTTCTTATAATGGGAAATAATTTGAATCAGGATGGAACAGTTGATAAGGAGGAAGAACAAGCCAGCTAACCAAATAAACAGAAAAGTGTTCTTTCCCTGAAACTCAAGAACATAAGCAGGAACGAGCCATAAGGCCTGCCCTATAAACCATAACGTTAGGAGAACTAGAGCTCTCTTCCAAGGTATCCTCACAAGAGGCATCACAAGAGGCAGAAGGCAGAGATACCAAAGAAAGTACTGGGAGGTGCAGACTTTGTTAAAAGTCACAAAAATGGCCGTGTGAAGAAAACAACAAAAGACAAGGTCTCTGTAATAGGCGAAAGACACTGCAGAAAGCAAGACGAGCTGCGGCAGAAAGGCAGCAATTCCTAGGGGGAAACTCCACTTGCTCTCGGCAGTTAAATATAGCATGTAGAAGTAGGGAGAAAAATTGTGACGAATGTCCCGCCTCGTCAGATGATAAAGGTAGGTGTGCTCCAAAAATTCCCAACCATATTTGTAGTAAAAACCAAAGCTCAGAGCTAAAAATGTGAGTCCAGCAACAGCTACAAAGAGCAACACGTCCCGACTGCACAATCTCATCATCAATTTGGACAAACGCTCCTTGAGAGAATGGTGGGGCGGACGGAGGTCTTCAGGGTCAGGTTCTGGAAGTAAGTGGAGAGATATGGGAAGGATATAGGTCACCGGGTATATCTTCATATGCACCGCAAAACCATAAAACAGCGCTGCACATGCGACAAACCTGATCTCTATGAAGTACAAGGCCATGAGCACGAGGGAGGCGATGATCGAGTCCGCATTGCCTCGGCTGGACACCGCCATAGGTAAGGGGTTAAGAAGCCAAAAGGCACAGTAGCCACACGCCTGGCGGGGTCCCAGCCCCTTAAGCAACAGCAGGCGGTATAAGAGGAAAGCAGCGAGGAGATCGCAGCTGATGAAGAGAAACTTCCCGAAGAGTTCACTGAGATAGATGTTGGGAGTGAGGAGCCAACCCAGCAGAGGGGTGTAGCGGTATGTAGCCCGCAGATAGGGGGAGCGTCCTTCCGTGATGAAGCGCGCCGCGTCCGTGAAGACCTCATAGTCGATATCTGTGTACCTCACGAGCAGGGTCCGGTCCTGGAAGACCCCGTAGAAAACCAAGGCGACACGAACAAGGAAGGCCACACAAAAAACCCCGGCGGGAGGCACCCGCAGCTTCAGAAACAATTCTCCGCAGTGCTTGCTCGGGCTCATGATCTTAGTGCGCGACAGCCACTCAGCCCAGAGGTAGAGTGCCTTCGAAGACTTAACATTCCCTTCGGTTCCCCACAGCAGTTCTCTCGAGCATTTCCGACTAGAGAGGAAGCCAACCGAAACTCTGGGATAGCCACTTCCGGTGTGAGGCTCCGCCCCAATAATGCTTCCGGTTGTAGTCCCAGCGCGGGGTTATCAATCGCGCCAGTCGAGAAATTATCTTCAACTAGATTGGCTCTCGCCCTTCCCAACTCCTTCCTCCAGGAGGGGCGGGATTTCCGGTCTCTGTCTGTTTACTAGTAAGGTGTACACTGACTGGATTATTACAGAACCAGGCGAGCTTTCTTTGTTTTTTTTTTTTCGGGGGTTTTTTTTGTTGTTGTTTTTTGTGCGTGACTGATTTTATCCTTCCTTTCCCAAACTCCGATCAGCGGAGTCAGACCTCCGCCACTTGCTGGAGCTCTGTGACTACATGCATCGGTCTTCCACGCAGTAATCGTGGGGGATTTTTGCCTCTCGGCTTTCAGATTAGGATGAGTTGAAGAGACCCGGAGTGTGTATACCCCTAGCAGTGTTTGGGACGTGCTTGTTTTTAAAATTATCCGCTTTTCTGAAATTCAAATTTAGCTGGACAGCCCGTATTTCATCTGGCAACCCTACGTGGAGGGTTTTTAAACTCTTATACCAGCTGCTCCGCAGGAGAAAGATGAGGCTTTCTACTCTCGTAAAGATTTACACCCTCGGAAACCCTATACAGGGTCGCTATGGGTCGGAACCGACTCGATGGCACATAACAACAACAACAACAACAACCCTCATGTCTCATTCAGTGCCTTCGTATGTCATTCCTTCAGCCAAGTTTATGTTCACTCTGGCAAACACCTACTCAGTGCTTACGACGTAGAAGCACATCCTGGCTCTCAACCCACTTCCGCATTCAACAGGATGATGTCAGTTCTCTGTATTGACTGGCTGGAGCAGGTGAAAGAGAGGGTGTCTAAACTTAAGAAAATCACTCACTGAAGACCCTTCCGTGCTCATAAAAGCCCTGCCCAGTGCCTAGTATCACCAAAACCCTACAGCGTCCAATCGGTTCTGATTCACAGAATCTTTTCTCCTCATAACGACTGGAACTGCAGACCTTGCCATTAGCAGTCCAGTGCTTAGCTAAAGTGCCACCAGGGCTCCTTGCCTATCATCACTGAGTTTGTAACTTATTGATCATACCTTTATTACAGCATTTGTCATTCTGATTTGTAATAACTATTTTTTTTTGTTTATTTCTGTGTTTTTATCAGATTTTTGCCTCCCCAGAATAGTAGTATTTATTTTTCTTTATTTTGTAACAGTTTTTATGCTATACCTTATGAGATACATCACCTAAATTTTTTATAGTGATTTAACAAGATATACCTGCTGCATTGTGTTCTAGCTGTGTTAACATTAGGCAAGTCCTCTCTTTTCCTTCCTTCCTTCCCTCCTTCTACTACATTTATTGAACATTTTTACAGGCCATGGAGTCCTGGTGTGGCGCTGTGAGTTAATGCACTGGACTGCAAGGCGGTTTGAACCGCAAAGTTGGCGGTTCAAGTTCACCAGGCGCTCCTTGGGAACCCTACACAACGTCGCTATGAGTCAAAACTAACTCAATAGCACTTAACAACAACAGCTTAGCACCCAGCATCGTGTATGGCCTGTTGTTGTTATTGTTAGGTGCCGCTGAGTCAGTTCCAACTCAGCGACCTCTAACACTTCCTGGTCCTGTGCCATCCTCACAATTGTTAAGCTTGAGGCCATTGCTGCTGCCACTGTGCCAAACCATCTTGTTGGGGATCTTCCTCATTGTCACTGACCCTCCATTTTACCTAGCATGATGTCTTTCTCCAGGGATGGATTCCTCCTGACAGTATGTCCGAAGTACGAGAGACTAAGTCTCACCATCCTGGCTTCCAAGGAACATTCTGATGGTACTTTTTCCAAAAGAGATTTGTTTGTTTTTCTATCCATTCATGGTACTTTTAATATTCTCCTCCAACACCATAACTCAAATGCATCAATTCTTCTACAGTCTTCCTTATTTACTGTCCAACTTTCACATGCACATGAAGCTACTGAAAATATCATGACTTGGAGCAGGCACACTTTAGTCCTCAAACTGACATCTATGCTCTTCGACACTTTAAGTAGGTCTTGTGCAGCAGATTTGCCTAAGGAAATACGTCATTTGATTTCTTGACTGCTGCTTCCAAGAGTGTTGATAGTGGATCCAGGCAAAAATATTACAATTTCGGTACCGACGTGGGCCGAGGAAGCGGAGCCGGCCAGAAAATGGCTCGGGAGGTTCCATGAAGCTGACAAAACCCATAGATGCAGCTTTGCAGCCTCTTCTGATGTCTGGGGCCGAGGTCCCAGAGAGAGATTGATCCCCCCAGTATAGGTGACCAGTCATAATGAAGAAAATTAGTCTCAAGACCTTCCGGGAGTCTTTTAACTTGAATAAAGCAAAGAAGAAAACGATTTCATGGTCGTGCAGCAGCCGTCGCTTGCCAGTGACTTTGGGAGAGATGAGTCCCTATTTGGGAGCTGCTACAGAAAAGAGATGGCCACCTGCGACATCCACAGCGAAGAAGGCAAGAGGGGTAAGAACCTATCCAAGAGCGAAAGTCTCATGGGTACGCTGAAGAGGCGGATCTCGGCCAAGCAGAAGCTGAGGGACAAGGGCTCCGCACCGTCGGGGAGCTCCGCAGGCGAGGAGACCTTCTCCTCTTCGTCTGCCCCCATTGTCTTCAAGGACGTCCCGGCCCAGAGGCCCCTGCGCTCCACGTCGCTGCGTAACCACCACTACAGCCCGACGCTCTGGCCCCTGCGGCCCACTGCCTCAGAGGAGACATGCATCAAGATGGAGGTGTGGGTTAAAGTCCTGGTCCTCTCGTCCAGCCCCAGCCCAGCCCTCAACGGAGTCCACAAGGACTTCCCTGAGCTGCAGCCCGGATCCCTGTGCCAGGCTCAGAGCAGCCCCCTGAAGAACGCCGACCTGCACCTGGACCTGGACGAACACGTGCCTGTCGTCATAGGACTCGTGCCTCAGGACTACATCCAGTACACTGTGCCTTTAGACGAGGGGATGTACCCTCTGGGTGGGGGGGGCCTCGGAGGTTCTGTCTGGACTTCCCAATGGAAGTCTCCGCCGTGCCCCCACCAGGGGGAGGGAGCATCTTCCCGGAAGAGGAGGGCCAGGTGGAGCAGGTGGAACAGGAGCTGGGCACCGGCGCCCAAGTCTTTGCAGAGCAGCCAGTAAACAGCCTGCTTGATGGGCACCACGGGGGTCCTGCTGCAGAGCCCCCACGCCAGGCACGAGGACGGCCCCCCACTCTCACCTTTGCTACCTCCGATGCAGAACCATCAAGTCCAAAGGAACTTCAGCGGGCTCCTGGGCGCTGACGCCTACGTGTCTGAAAGTGTGCGTGTGCGCTGCCATTTGAATTTTGACCCCAACTCTGCCCCCGGGGTGGCACGAGTCTATGACTCAGTGCAGAGCAGCGGGCCCATGGTGGTGACCAGCCTGACTGAGGAGCTGAAGGAAATGGCCAAACAAGGATGGTACTAGGGCCCCATCACGCGCTGGGAGGCCGAGGTAAAGCTGGCCAACGTGCTGGACGGCTCCTTCTTAGTCCGGGACAGCTCCGACGACGACCGGTACCTCCTCAGCCTGAGATTCCGCTCCCACGGCAAGACGCTGCACACCAGGATTGAGCACTCCAACGGGAGGTTCAGCTTCTACGAGCAGCCGGACGTGGAAGGACACACGTCCATCGTCGACCTCATCGAACATTCGATCCGGGACTCAGAAAACGGAGCCTTCTGCTACTCGAGGTCCCGGCTGCCCGGCTCGGCCACCTGTACCCGGTCAGGCCTACCAATCCGGTGTTGAAGTTCATGCAAGTTCGCTCCCTGCAGTACCTGTGCCGTTTTGTGTTCCAGCAGTACACCAGAATAGACCTGATCCGGAAACTGCCTTTGCCGAACAAAATGAATGACTACCTCCAGGAGAAGCACTACTGAAAGATGGGGGGCCTACACCCTGAACTCTGGGGACAAGAGCACGATCAAAAACCCGTTTACAAACGTTTCCTTGCTATCCAAACTCTCTTGCTGCCATACCGATTTCAGTTTTCTGTGTACAAGGGTCACCCACTTGTCTAGAGGGGTGGGGAAGTGTGTGGGCCAGCTCCCTTGGGCTTGTTTCGGTTCTCTCAAAAGGGAAGTCTGGAAGGTTTCCAAGTGTGAATTGTCTTTCCTCAGTGTGCAGAACAATCACAATGTGAATGATCAGATTCTGTGCAGAATAATCACAATGTGAATGATCAGATTCTCCTCCCCATGCCCTCCCAATCCTTTGCCGCTATCCACTGTGATTTTTATGAATTAAAAGCACATTTCATGTGTACTCAGCCCAAGTAAAGTTGGATGAAAACGTATAGAATGAACAAACGTTTTGTCTCTCTCAGTGGCCCAATTTCAAAAGGTCGTTTTGGGGAAGCATTCATGACCCAAATGGGATAAGACCCCGAATTTGACTTGTACCCTGAACATGATTTCTGTAACCTCATACCTTAAAAAGATTGATTTGAAATTGAGAGCCCACGTCTTTTTGGGTATTAGAACGCAGAGCTGCCACTTGGCTTTTACACTCATTTCTAAATTGTTTTTATCATTGTACTGATTTTGGGGGTTGTGAAAAGTTGACTGGTTTTTCTGTTGCCTTCGTTTTCATCTTGTGGTTTGTCTATGTTTAAAAAATGGCTTTACATTAAAAATTCTTAAAAGAAATGTAAAAAAAGACTACAACTTCAATGTTTTCTCCATTTGTCATAATGATATTTATTGGTCCAGTGGTGAGGATTTTTGTTCACATTGAGGGGCAACCCATACTGAAGGTTGTGGTCTTTGATCTTCATCAGTAAGCATTTTAAAACCTCTTCTCTTTCAGCAAACAAGGT